ATTGCAATTACAATTATTACGGATTCAATATTAATTAATTATGGAATTAATTAGGAGAGATTATGACGGGAAGCTGAAGGAGTATTTTTTCATTTTTTTATTTTTTATTTAGGATCATTTTTATTTATCCATTTAATATTTTGTGGGACGATTGGGAAGGGGATTTTTGGTAATTAATATATTAGAGATAATTAGTGGCGGGAATTACGATTATATGAAATTAAATTATGGAAGATTACTGAAATTTCAATGAGTCTTGGATTTTAGGGTGGGAGTATATTAAAAATGTTTGGTATTGCATAATAAAATTAATGTCAATTTTGTCTCTTCTGCTCACGTCACATGAGATTAATAAACCACGGGGTCATACATTAAAATAGATCTCCGTTCAATTGAATTACCGAAAACCATTTCGTACCGGAAGAATGCACCACAAATTTCGATGTCGAAGGCCTCCTCCATAATATTTTCATCCGAATTTCCCCAAAATCATTCAAAACATGCGAATTTCAATGTGCGAAATATTATTTCAACCGCGAAGTGGCAAACTAGACTAATTAAAATTTTCCAAGTCAGTTTTCCGCCGATATCTCGTGACTGAAGCGAGATAACAATTTTTTTGAAAAAACATTTTTTATGGAGAAAGAAGAGAGCTGTAGAAAAGGTATCTACAAAAATATGGGTATCTCCCCTCAATTCCCAGATAATCGCGAAAAACGGATTCTCAAAAACACTGACTTGAATATTAAATTCAGTTAATCACATTATAAATAAATAAAAAACCCTGGGTTGTTGGAAAATTAATTTTGCCGAGTGTAAAATTTCCTCATCTCGTAAAACATCTCGATGAATTTAACTGACAATTTTGTGAATGGAAAAAAGACAATTACATGTCAAACGTATAGTGTACGAGTGACTAAAGTATCCGGAGATATTGATTTCCGCTTCCTGACTTGTGTACATACCACACCGTAGCTTCTTGCTCGATCAAGTCCAGTATATCATTGATTCGTCTTACGCTTCATTCTATTCCACAACGTCGTATGTGCGGCATAAAAATATTAAAAAAACAAGAAGAGATGATAAAATTCCGTCGAACAGTCCAACAGCAAAGACTTTTCCTCCAAATGGTTTCGAAGGTCTTTCAAGTGGCACGTGGATGAATCTAAAGTAGAACTGAATTTTAGTTCCTATTTCCCTTCCATTTTCCATTTCTCTCCCAATTTATTCACTCTCTATCATGTCTACTAGCAGAATCTCTTCTTTTTCAATTCGTCAATTTTTTTTTTATTATTGCACTCGTCAAAGATCCAGACACTGCGTTTACCAACATTCAATTGCCAATTGGCGTGACACTAATAATTCCTTTATGCTGCAGGCACCAGTCATTAACAAATTGAGAACAATAATCCGTAAAAGTGATTTAAAATTTTCAGCTGGATGATAACTGAATGATTTCCAAATTAAAGTTTAAATTTTAAACAATTATTCATAAACGAATTATTGAATTCCTTGAATATTCCGGTGACTGTTCATTTTTTAAATAATTGATCTCGTGAATCTTTAGTCTATTAAAAATTTAATTACATTTCATGTTGAAATCCGAAGAAATGTTCAAGATGTAATTGTCAGTTCTTTACTGAATTCATTAATGAAAGAGGAATATTTTTAAATGATTCTTTTTGATCTTCAGGTACTGGTGAATCGGGAAAATCCACGTTCATCAAGCAGATGAGAATTATCCACGGCTCTGGATATTCGGACGAAGACAAGAGGGGATTTATCAAGCTCGTGTACCAAAATATATTCATGGCAATGCAGTCCATGATCCGAGCGATGGATCTCCTTAAAATTCAATATGGAGATTCTTCGAATATAGTAAGTAGAATATGAGAGAATCTTTTTAAACCTCCAACGATGAATGCATTGAGGACTTCAAATTAATTTCAACAAAACGTTATTTTTTTTTCAACAGGAAAAAGCGGAATTGGTTAGAAGTATAGACTTCGAAACGGTAACATCATTTGAGAGTCCATATGTAGAAGCCATTAAGGATTTGTGGGCAGATGCTGGTATTCAAGAGTGTTACGATCGTCGACGAGAATACCAACTAACGGATTCAGCCAAATAGTGAGTAGTATTGAAACCAAACAACTGCTTCTAATGTTCAACGTGTGTAAACCATTTTTCGTGTTTTTATTACGAATTTCTTCTTTCCTCAGAAATAAGTCTGAAAGCGTTTCAATTTTTAAGTGAGGGGCTACCCAGATTTACCATCTGTTATATTCACCGAAAAATATTATAGCAATGAAAGAAACAATTCGATTTACTGATTTTTTTGGATAAAACGTTTGTTCATCTCTAAATGTAGATTTTAAAAAATAATCGCAATGCTTTTATTTAATATTAGAGGAGAGATACTCTCGATATGAAAGAAAATTTTATATTAAGTTCTATATTTATTTATATTTATTTATATTTATTGTTTGTACTTGAAATTATAGGCATTCAGTGTCAATTAATTGAAGTTTATTAGACTCTTTGACTCTCCAGATAATTGCAATTGTAATTGACTGAGTTGAAGGGATTAAACATAAATGTTTAGTTGTAGAAAAGAAAATAGGATATTGAGTAAATAATGTTACAGCTATCTCATGGAGATAGATCGAGTGGCAGCACCAAACTACCTCCCCACAGAACAGGACATTCTTCGTGTGAGAGTGCCCACAACTGGTATAATTGAATATCCATTTGACTTGGAAGAAATACGGTTTAGGTATGTCACACGGAATGGAGAGAAAAAAAAAACACTCAGCGAATTCAACTAGCATCTTGGGATTTTCGCCATTGTGTTATCATTTATTGTTTTCCTTCTGTGTTTGCATTGCTGTCACTAATTTTTCAGTTTTATCCTCGAGCATCTGCGCAGTATCAATTCATTTCTTGTATTTATTGTCATATGTAATTGGATCTAATCAATTCCCTGGAATAAATGTTATGATTTGTCATGGGAATTTTATAATTTATAAATATTTGAATTAATTTTTATAGTGTCATCAATTTTTTTTCTTGCTGATTAGTTTGAGTGACGGAATCTTGACGTTTTGTTGCTAGGCATTTAAATAATATCACTCAAAATATATAATAATTTTACAATATTTCGGTCATAAAGATGTAATACTACCGCGCAGTAAATAATTTATATCGTAATCCATTAATTTGTAATATTTTGAGGGACAATATTATTATTGATTAAAATTTAAAGCGATTGCCTTTTCTGGGGAGTATTCACATCTCGAATGGATCCGATTACATTATTTTTCAATAGTTTACAGGGAATGCATGGGATGCTGAAAGTTCCAAGTGGAATAACAATTAATTCTTTCAGATTTATTAGACGTTATTGCATTTATTTTTTATTAAATTGTTTATTTTAATGATCTCTAACGTAAGAATCATTCCTGTTGCATGGCATGCGTTGTCACGATGGCTTTTCGTTATTTTTCACAGTTACATTAGCGATCTAGCTCGAATAGAACAACCAGATTATCTTCCTACTGAGCAAGACATCCTTCGGGCTCGAGCTCCCACAACAGGAATTATTGAATATCCCTTCGATTTGGACTCCATCATCTTTAGGTATTGAGTGCAAATGCAATATTCAATCCGAGGTTTTCGTATCGATAATTTTCGTTGATTTTTTATATATTAAAATGCAGAATTTTTTCGATTTTACCCCAAAATCATTCAAGAATTTTATTAAGAGAGAACTGATTTTAGATTACGATACTCGAGTCGCTCTGTGTCGTTCACATGATGGTAAAGTAATTTAAATTCACTGTAATCGCACAAACTAAGAAATTTACCTGAGGAATCATCACGCGGGTTGAAAGAACATTTCAAAGAAATTTTCATTTGCGGCTGCATGTCAGAAAGAAATCCAAAGATTTTCACTATTTCTGTTTAGCTGTTCTCTAGTGAATTATTTTATTATTTTTCTTTTAAATTATTCGTGTGCTTCGCTGTGATTTACAATAGGATTTCAATTTATAACGGGAAAAATAAAGAACTCCGGGAAAATTGGTTTTCCGTTTTGAAAGAACCCGTTGTAAGGAAATCCTAGTGTAATTTCTTGATTAATTATTTTATTATATATTTGCATGATGGGAAGACGAATGAAGCTTTTCATGTTTATAAACTTTATGTGAATAACAATCGAACAATTAATTTTTTAAACTCTTTTTTCTGCCAATTGCACGTTTTTGATGATTGAATAGAGAAAAAGCTTTGTGAAACTATTAAATTATTCTAGTGACTCCTTTCTTAATTTGACTTTGAAAATGATTTTGACAATTTTTTCAGGATGGTAGATGTCGGCGGACAGAGATCTGAAAGAAGAAAATGGATTCATTGTTTCGAAAATGTCACTTCCATCATATTTTTAGTAGCTTTAAGTGAATATGATCAAATTTTATTCGAATCAGAAAATGAAGTGAGTTAATAACACCTAATTAATCCACTATTGAGAATAATTGTTGATATTTAATTAAATAATTTATCATTTTTTTTTCAGAACCGAATGGAAGAGAGTAAGGCGCTATTCAAAACGATCATAACATATCCCTGGTTTCAGCACTCCTCCGTTATTCTCTTTTTAAATAAGAAGGATTTGCTCGAGGAGAAGATCATGTACTCTCATCTCGTCGATTACTTTCCAGAATATGACGGTAAGTTCATTCCCTCTTTCAACATGAACCAATAACCCCTGGAAAATGACAGAGTGATTGAAGACTTAACGAAGAAAAAGAATAAATGATTTGGAAATGCCTTTGACCCGAATTTTTATCATTGAGAACTGAAAATTCTGTTTTCAAGTGATGAAACGATAAGTCCATTTTTTTCAAAGTCAATTTACGCCAATATCTCGAAATTCAAGGAAGATAACGATTTTTTCATGTCTACCTTTTTTATAGCTCTGATCTTTTTCTATAAAAAGTGTTTATACAAAAAATTCACTATGTTTCTTCAATTCCGAGATATCGGCAAAGTTTATGACTTCGTTACTGAATTAATTCGTTGTTTCGACATTGTTTCTATGATTTTGAATATTCAAACACTCTAGGCCCAAAACAAGACCCTGTTCCAGCACGAGAATACATCTTGAAGGTTTATTTATCCTCGAATCCTGATCCAGACCGACAATGTTACTCTCATTTCACAACAGCAACAGGTCTGATGAGAAAGAAAAAAACGTCAAGCAAATTTGTGAAAACTCCTGTGTAGCGCTAGATTCCGCTGTAAATGGCATTATCCTATTCTGAATATTCATTTCCCATTTGCCTACGAGAAGAACGATGAATGTCTAATGTTGAAATCTAAAGAAACGAGACAAGGCTGATAAATTAAATTATTTCTCATAATTACGTAAGCTGATTAGCTTGTTAACAGCACAAAAAGGCTTCGTAGATATGTATTGGCGCTAATACAATAAACTGTCCTTCAATACAGTTTATCCTGAATTAGAAGTAATCCTCAAGCCAGCGGAAATATTTTCTGTGTTAAAAATTTTACTTTCTCGCTAACACGCGTCATAATTCAATAATTCAATTGAATTCTTCAATTGCATTATTCGATTTTTTCAAGGCCACTTTTCAGCCAATAACTCGAGATTGAAGAAAGATGACGAAATTTTCATGGATATCTTTTTTGTGGCTCTCATCTTTTTCTACAAAAAATATATCTACAAAAAATGCGATATGTTCCTTCAATCCCGAGATATTGGCTTTGAATTATGGATTTAGAAATTTGGATTTATATTGAAATCAATTATTCGGTGAGGCTATTTGAATCTGAAAATATTTTTACCTGCAAAAGTAAAATGAAATCTATCCCAGTGGTCCTATAATCTCCTGTATTTATTCGCTAGAATTAATTCCCGATTGTGTCCATTATTCACGTATTTTACAGGCCCACAGAGAGAGGCCACAGCTGCTAGAGAATTCATATTAAGGATGTTTGTCGACTTGAATCCCGATAGCGAGAAAATTATTTATTCTCACTTCACATGCGCCACAGGTAAAATAGCTAATTACTCATTACCCAATTGCACCATTAAATCAGCTTTTTTTTGCTTTACCTTTACCATTGTGTGTAGCGATTGTTTGATTAGGGTGAGTTTGTGACTCTAATTTATATCAATTTATTTCTCTAATTCTTCATCTGATTTCTACATTTATTTCAATCGCATGCTGCATGACGGATAATCAACAGATACTGAGAATATTAAGCTCGTGTTCTGCGCTGTGAAAGATACAATAATGCAGAATGCTCTCAAGGAATTTAATCTCGCTTGAATTTATTTTCAACTGTACAGGGGAAAAATAGTCTGTCTGATGGAAATCACGAAATTGGTTGAAACTCAATTTATTATTTCCACTTTTTTCCCTGTTTTTATCAGTGAATAAATGCCTGATTACCCAATCAGCCGGGATGTTAATTTCTTATTTTCTAAACAAAACTTATTGCTTATTTCTCACTCTTCCATTACCAGTATTCCAACCTTCCGCGTAAATCTCTAAATATTATTTTCCAAAATATCAACAGAAATATAATGAACCAACGGAACATCTTTGAATTTTTGAATATTTTTACAATATCGGTTCGTGGATATTTTCATTCTAATTAATTCTCTCTTCCTCTCAACGAATCCTCAACAATATGTCTATGAAAATCTATACAATTATCAATAAAAAAGGAAACGTGAATTCAAATAAGTAGAATATATATAAAGAATTGATAATAGTGGTAATGAATCATGAATTTATTAAAAGTAATTACGACGACAATTGATTGATAAAATTTGCATGCGTGTATCGATTATTCCGTTGTAGTTTTAAAGTGAAATTAATTAAAGATAATGGGTTATTAAATAATCATCGAATGTTATTACAGTGCAAGTAATAATAATTTTTGTATGCATTAAATAAATTCTCGTGCATAAATCTATGATATATCTTTCTAACTACTCCTTGAAGTGAAGATCTGGTTGTAGTGATAAAACTTGATGGATCAATTCTAAAATTTGCATGAACTATCAAATTTTCTGAGTGTGCAGCTTCAGCAAAAAATTTGCACTCGCAAATTTGAATTCAAGAAAAGTAGAGGATAAACCAGAAAATTAAACTTACGTCCTTCTGGTATTGATCTGATATATGCGTGAATAAATATTTAATTAATTATAACGCAGAAATTATCGATTAAGTTTTTTCGCTTCAATCCAGAGAATAATAACAGCATGAGAATATTTTCTGTTGCTTCTGGCAATTGCATGAATGAAAAAAATTGTTTTCGTTGCAAATTCTGGGCTTTAGGTGAGTAAAGACTAATCATTCGTGATATTGTGCAATAATAAATAGAGATAACCCATCATTGGATATTGTTATTGAATGAATTTATTTGTTTACAGATACGGAGAACATTAGATTTGTGTTTGCGGCGGTTAAGGACACAATTCTTCAGTCAAACTTGAAGGAATACAATTTGGTGTAGGTTTGGACATTGTGATATCCCACAGAGGATTCATCTGTATTTAATCAAAGCTCCAGATGCCAAAAATCTGCAAGCTTTAAGCACAAAATAATAACAAAACAAAAGAAAAAAAAAAAATGATGAAATTCACAAAGAAAAACGGACTTTGTTGAACAAACTCGTTAAATAAGATTTAAAAAAACAACAAGTCGTAACAATGGAAACAGAATTATGACTATTGGAGATGACCGCCATGGGAGATAAAAAAGGAGTCGAAGGGGTGAATATAATGATGGAATAAATCGCGAAGTAATATTTAAAAAAATAATTGTATGAAAATAAAAATTTTAAAGAAATATATGGAAATAGGCTGGAAAATGATCGAATGACTCGTGATGCTGCGTCAGTTTCACGAGTGTACCAACATTTTAGTTAGCTAAAAAAAAAAAATGAAAATTTCCAGCAAATGAAGATTTAAAAAATGGAAAAAAATAAGGACCTAACTCTGAGCGTTATACGTTCTTTCCTAAAAAAAAAAAACTTTTCACTGTCGATACCAACAAACTGATTTAGTTTCGTACTCTATTTGTTGAATTTGTTACCTTTTTATAGCTTAGCTTAGTCGATCGAGCCTGGCTGACTGCGACATCGCCTGATTTTTATATAAACGATTAAAAAAAAATTAATAAATATTAATTAATGGGCAAAAACTATTAAGAAAACAAAAGTAAATAGTTCATGCATACTGCGCGTTTCGTCTTATGGGATCTCAAGTCGATGTGTGGGGGATATATAATGAAATTATTATTGACAATGATAAATTTGAGGGGTTGAGCAATGAGTGAGACAAAATGGAAAGGAAATTTAAAAATAGGGGGACAACAAAGCTTTTTACAAATCACGAGTAAGTCGGTTTAAACACAAGTGAGAGCGATTCTAGTGCCATTTACTTGCGTGGTGTTTCTATTGCAGTCCTTCGTTTAATTGCAAAAAAGCCAAAGTGTTTTATTCTTTTTCTTAATCTTCTTTTCTTTTTTTTTTTATTGTTTTCGTTTTTTTTTAATTTGTATTTTAAAAGAGACGAGGAAAATGATTTTTTTAATGAAGAATAAAATCTGTGCAAGAAACGACGAAGTTTTTTTCTGCATGTGACTCAAATCCAAGAAATTCATCGTATAAATATTGTTATATATAATATATAAAAGAAAAATGAAACATAGGGATAGGTGGTCGAGGATAAAGAGCAGCATCAACTTGCATCGATGAGGAAAGAAACAAAAATATTTAATAAATACCATTGAGAGATACAACAAGATAGAAGGAAAAATGAATCGAATAAAATAAAAAAATCTCCTTTACATTACGAAATAATTAGAAAAACGGCATCTCTTTGATGTGAAAACTTTAGGTAATTTGAGGATGAATAATGACAGACTAATTATTTGTCTCTGTTATTTTTCACCTTCTTCAAATGCGACTGTTTTAGAACGAAGTTACGTCGGGATTTTTCACGTTAATAATTAAACAAAAAGATGATACTAATCACGATGCGGGATTCATCACAATTTTTTCACCACGAGACTTGGTTATTTATATCATTTCAAAATCATTATTGTGACCCTTTTGAAAGTATGAAGAAAATCATAAATCTATTGTCGTATTTGTAAACTTGATAAAATCGGTTAATTATTTAATCATTTTTCTATAAAGGGCGATTCTAGGATAAATCATCGCGAAACATTTTTTATCGCGAAAACCACTGGAATGGGGAAGAAACTTTGTGGCATGGATTCTCCACCAAAAAGTGATAGAAATTTTTGAAAAACGATTTGAATGATTTGTTCACTTCATAGGAACATGATTCTCCGAGTGGAGTGTGATCGGATGGAATGAATAATTTTAATAACCATTCAAAAATTCGAGGTGGTGAGGAGATTCGTGGAGTGCCATTTTGTCGAGCCCCCTCTTTGTCCATAGGGTTTTAAATATGGCGACGCTCCACCTCGCATTTTCACATAATTATTAAAATCATTCATTCACTTCAAATCACTTGCAATTAGTTTTAATCTATTCCTATGAACTGAACAATTCTTAATTTCCTATCCTGCAGATATTTCAATTTATTTTTAGTGATAATCCATCCTAGTTTCCTTCCACCCGAGGCGTGAAACTGGAAAAATCATGAGTTCTTCGGCCATGAAAGGAGTAAAATGTGACTCTTCGCATTTTCAAATTGTTCACATAAAACAGTCACTATCATATTTTTTATTGAGAAGATGTAGTGAAAAAAAATGTTGAAAATATCCCAACGTCACTACAGAAATGCCCAGAAGTCGCGTGTGCAGCTAGAGACATGAGCCCCCAAATCTCCTAAAAAAAGGGGAAAAACATAAATCGAAATAATGAAATAGTTTAGATTGGCTCATGTCTTTAGCTCCGCTTCGTATCCACCTTTACAGTGTCACTGCTCACTGCCTGCGCTCGCTCATGCTAGCCAGCGCGCTGCCCACTGGTATTCTCTGGTAATTAGCTAGTATTCTCTAAGTTCAATCCTAAAATCAATCAATTCTCCAATCAACCCATTGATGCCCATTGGCAGCTCCACTGAGAAAAAACTGGACAAATTCTCGGACGAAATAAATAACACAATGATAATTACTAAAATTGAAATAGCTCCCTTAAACGCAGAATTATGCAATATTAATAATTGCTAAACTGTCAGCACAAAGTAAACCAGAAATATCTTATTTCTAAGCCACAGGATTGCTATCGTCATTGTTGTTATTATTGTTTTTAATAATTCTGTAGGGAAGTGGTAAAACGAGGTAAGTTAACTGCGTGTGTTCCTTCTGGTGATTTTCCGGGAATATCTCCGAAGGTGAGGGAGGGAGGATAATTGATGTGATGACCTTTCTTGGAGGTATCGATTTACTCTCCAAAAATGATCCTCACTGAAAATCTGGTATCTCTCTCAATTTCGGAGATATTTGCAATAGACTCATCTGGTGTTGAATTGTGAACTCGGATGTCATTTTTTCGATTCCCGTTTCCGGAAGAAATATCTTAGTACTGAGGGGAGATAGCGATATTTTCGTAAAGACATTTTTTGTAGCTCCTACTTTTTTCTATAAAAAGGGTTTATATGAAAATATTCCTATTTTTCTTTAATTACGAGGTATCAGCTGAAAACGAGTGGAAAAATACAATTATTCTAGTTTAACAGTTTATCGTGCAATTTATATTTTTTCTCTGAATATTCGGTAGCCGAAATGGATAAAAACTGGTCCTTGTTTCTCATGAAACAAACAATCTTCGGGACCAAAATACGTATGCTAGTATAGAATAAACGAATAGATAGTGCTAGAAATAGGATTTCTCGCGTGCAAAGAAAGTTATCAATTTTCCTTTCGAATTTCTTTTCGCAACAAAAAAAAACTTCCAAACCATATTCCATATTTAGTAATAATCACTGTGTAATTCGCCATTCGACTAGAACTTGTTTAAAAATGTTTTTTTGTTCACTCAGTACACGAGTTCAGGGTATCAATTCCGCTGATTATTAATAACAAAAAAAAAAACGTTGAGATAAACGCATAAATGGAGAAAAAGTTTGATAAAAGTGATGCGCACCTAGAGAATACTCGCCCGATTTTACTGCTAGAGAAAATATGAAAAAAAAAAAAAAAACGGTGTTGGTCAGTTTTCGAATAATTTTTTAAATATATTTTTGTTCATGAATTATGTGACACCGATTACGCACACCGGGCAGCATAATACGTCATACCTACAATACTTCAGTTTGAAACACTGAGTTTATATGAAAGAAACAAGAAAAAAACAAATATATATATAAATACATTGAATGAAGTATAATATTAAGAGATAACAACAAAATACTATTGAATAATAATAATAATACTGCTTGGTTTTCAGTGCGAGTGAGACGATGAAAGAACACAAATTCTCCTTTGTTATAAATATTTCTCTCTTTTAATTTAATCCCTACGATCGAAAGTGTGGAACAAATAAAAATTTCTCTGATTTCGATTTTCTCAGTGTGAGAAAATTGTTCCTGCATTTTTCAAAACCGCTGACAAATCGCGGAGAATTTAATTGTAATATCTTACCATGAATGAAAAATTTATTTGCAAATCTATTGAGAGAGAATTTCAAATAAGAGAGAAAGAATTGCGCAAAAGAGTAATTAGTGTATGAGTGCAGATCGCATGAGAAATCTTAACGATTAAAACGATTGTGTGGAGGAATGAGAAGATTAATATTAAATTAAATTAAATGATGGAGCACAATGTAATGCAATTGCATTGCAATGCCTGGGACGAGTGAATGAGTAATTTTCATGATAAAACAAGTCATTGAAGTAAAAAGAAAAAAAAAAAATACGAATGGTGGAAGAGAAAAAACAAAATAATACAAATTTGTGGCTATAGTTCATTTGTAAATCATTTCTTGTCAAACTAAAAAAAAAAAACAACATGGAGAAAATCAATAACAAAAAGTATACTTTTTTTCTGAGAAACATCATATGTTGGGTATTCATTCTACCACGCCCAAAAAAATGAAGAATCAATGTTTATAATTTATTTATAATAAATAATATACATTAATGATTAAAAAAACGGAAAAAACGACAAAAAATTGAATAAACGGAGTTTCTGATAAGGAGTATCCAAATCCGCATGTTTAATTTCCTTTTTATTTTGTTTATAACAACAATAACTGATTTTTAATTTATTTGTTTATTGACTGTGGATGCAATAGAGAAGATTTCGAGTGATCATTTCTTTTTTAATGTCAATTTATATTGAAAACCAGTTGTTTTTAAAGAACTTTTCAATTTGCAGATTTATTTATAATTTTTTAAAAATTCTTTTTAGTAATTGAGTGGTAGACTGGGATTACTTTTTTTTCGACGTCAGTTTTCAGTCGATATCTCGAAATTGAAGGGACATATTGATTTTCCCGTGGGAACATGTTTTATAGAGAAAGATGACAGCAACAAAAAAGATCTTTATGAAAATATCGATATCTCTCTTCAATCTCGAGATATTTTCGAAAAACTGGTCTTTAAAAAAAAAATTCAGATAGTTTACCATTTCGCGACAGATTTAATAGTGATATAGTAAAGTTCAATGGGAAAAGGCACTTCCGGTAGTTTAAAGGGTCATAAATTGTTCCTATCAAATATGTTATTAGCTTTTGTTATTTGTTGTACAATTTAACGATTTGGTGAATTTCCGCAGTTCGACTTTTGAAAACTATTTCTTGTAGTTTGAACATTAACTATTGAATTCATTTATCATGGTGGGGATGATTTTTTTTTTTCGAGGGTAATGCTGACATATATTTTCCTCCCCTTCGCAACCGAGGGGTTGTTCCCAGGAATCTTTACTGGTGGAACAGCTTTAGGTGGGAGACAAGACTTAATTGTTCAGCGCAAGCGCAAACAACCCACCGACAGTTTTTGTGAACCATCGGTGAACCATTGGGTGTTTTCGTCTCTCTACCTTGACGCTTACCTCTGCATTTAGACGGAATTTAAATCGTAAGAAATTTTTATTTGAAATTCTGAGGAATTCCTCCCGGAGAAGAGGTTCGACTTTTCCAGTTGCGTCTCGACGGACGGGAAATTCAAATTTTCTAATCGTTCGAGGGGTGCAGGTGGCCTTGACCAGATTCACAGGACTCAGCTGTTCCATTTGGCAAAAAGGAAGACAACATGAGTCTACTCCTCGAAGAGGACGAAAATGACGAGTAAGTCATGATTTTTCTGGATTTATCTCTCACTTTTGTCGCCTCTCACGCAAATTTCTGCTGATTAGAGATAAGCGATATCATTATTGATTTTAGTGATTCAATTATTCAATTTCATTTTTCGGTTTTTACGCAATGAATTTTGCATTTTTTAAATAAAAAATTCGGTTAATATTCCGGAATTTAATTCGTGTCGTATAATCAATTTTTTTGCCATCATCGCGACGAGAAAATTCGATCATTTTTACTTGTTTACTCATCAGCTTCAGTTAATCTCGATTGGGATGGGATTATTTAAATTGCAAATGAAGATATTTAAACAGAATTTTTGCATGAAGTCGAAAAATTACGGATTATTATATAATCGGGTTTCTATTCTCTTCATTATCTCGGGTCTCTGGTTATCCGATGAAATCGCAAATTCCAGTGATTGCAGGTGCTTTTTTTAAATAAATCTTTCATTTATCCACAAATTCATCCCTCTCCCAGGAGAAGGGGAAACTCCCACCGAAAAAATGTATAAAAAATTCATGCACCATATATTATATATTTTATCAAGTTAAATAAAAAATATTGAAAATATTAAAAAATTCACTAATTTATCGTTTTTCGATAATTCAATAAAAAAATTTTTTTTATAAAAAAAAATTAATTAAATAAATGAAAAAAAAAATGAAAATCAAATTTATGAAATGGTTATAAAATATACTCATACTATATCCTATAATAATTTTATATATATATTCTGTAAACATCAATTTGTTTATCATCATTATTAAATTTTGGATTCATTCGATTTTTATTGTTTAATTTAGGTGGTTTCTGTAATTTATTTGAATTTCTCTCGCGATATCTTTTAAATTGTCGTACATTTGTTCTCCAATTTTTCCTTTCTCTCATTGTTTCTGATATCTTATATTGATGTACGGTAAATTAACATTTCACACCCACTTTAAAATGTGATTCTTATCAGAGTTCGTCATCCACAATGCCGATAGCTTCCTCACTTGATAACTGAATATCAGTTTGCATTGCACACGAGGAAATGAATATATACAAGCAAAAAATTATATAACACCTACTATTTTTATGTATTTATTATTTATATTATTCGTCAACTATTTTTCCATCTGGACTAAATGTCCGGCAGATGTTCTCCAAGAATTCTATCATTTTTTCATTTGACAATACAATATCTAAAAATTATTTTTCTGTGGTAAAAACAATTAATATATTATTCCACAAATAAATAAATTATTATCGTAAAATTGTTTTGTTTTTTAAAAATTTTTTTTTGTTTCGTTGGAAATGGAATTAAATTTAAAAAATTGTTGGTTGATAATTATTTCTTCGAGTCTAAGATACAGAAATAAATTATTTATGTTTTTAACGAGTTTTATGTTTTAAGTTGTAATTTACAATTTTTTTTGAGAAAACTATTTCGATGGATTGATTATTTATTGGGAAATATCGAAGGGGGAGAAAATGTTTTAGTGAATGTACGTCGCTAAGAGGCGTATCGATTACTTTCATAAACACCGAGGTTCGTCTCTTATTGGCTTTCCAGGGGTTTAATATAAATTTTTTCAGTTTAATTATCAATTCAATGAGATCATGCAGTCATTTAAAAACAATTTTCGTCCTCATCTCAAACTGCAACTTATTATTTCAATTTATTTATATCCATCACAAACAAAATTTAAATTAACAAATAAAAAATGTGCACTCATCCCTTCCATTCCTCATTATTTATTATAACAATTAATAATTTATTACTCACCGATTATTCCCATTTCATCTAAATTCATTCTTCAATAAAAAAAATTTTTATTTTTCAGTCGACTGTATTTATTCTGTTATTTATTTTATCTCTTCATTTTTTTAGATTATAAACTTTTTTATTTACATTAAAAATCAATTGCATCTGAGAGTTTTTTCTCAAAAAATCGTATCTCCAGTTTTTTTTTAAGAGAAAAATCATTCAGTTATTCAATTTTATGGTAGCAATAATAAAATTTATAATAAAATGTTTATAATAATTAAATAATTATCCACAACGCACTGGATTCCAATCCAGAAATGAGGTATTGGGATATTCTTGAACTCTCGTTATCAAAAATTATGAGATTACAATAAAAAAAAAACAAGTAGGCGACAATAAACATGCGTTGATAAAACAATTGTTTATATCATCCGAAGCCATTATTATTGGTTTTTATATCTTTAAACCGCTAGTAATAACAAAAAAAATGAGGAACAACGGAATAAATTGTTTAAATAATTTCTGCTGAGAGAATTCGGTCACAATTTTCTCTGCAAAAATAATAACTTATCATTGCGCTCGTAGGAATTTGTTTAAAATTAATGGAACACCTCTGAACAAACCCAAAGGTGAACAATATTCTTGTGTTTAAAAATGGGTGTGAGCCGAAAGAGAGAGTGGGGTAAATAGTATATAAAGACTGTACGTGTATTGCACATCGGTTTATTCGTAGTCCGACGAAGTTATATACTCGTTGCAACCAAGGCCACACATTGAGAAACGTTTCTCTAGTGAACAATGAGATATTCTGAAATTATTTAGAGAAATTAACAACTACAAAAATTAAATTACCAAACGCATTTCCATTTATCATCTCGATGAATCGATAAATTTTCTGTAATTCATTCGATATTGTTGTGGATATTGAAATAGTGAAAGTTTTTTTTTATTAGTTATTATTAACTGGGAATTTAATCGCAATGTCGGCGTGTGCTGGTCATTTTCAATCAGCTGATCAGCCTGATGATCGCGATAAACAATCAAATGACGGGGAAATTGTTAACAAAGAAAGTGACACCAGGTGCGATATTTTATTTAATCCATTACTTCACTTTATGAAACGATTATTAAACGCGTTTAATTGTTTACTAATTTTAATTTTCATTAATTGTTGATCGAGTTTTCTTGGAATTTTTTATTTCCGTCATAATGTTATTTGAATTTTTAGTTGTGGAAGTTTGAAATAAATTTTTATTGAAAGTGTTATCTCAATTTATTATTTATTTATTTATTTACGGTGGAATGCAATTGAATTGAATGAATAATAAAAAATTCTAAGAATTTATCGAAATTTTGGGTGTCAACGGAGAATTTTGTCCAGAAAAATCTCACGGCAATTAGTGATTATCAAAAATTACGGGTACCAGTTGAAATTTATTGAAATTTAGACAGTAATTTATTAACAATCAATTTTTTCAAAACTATAGGATAACAATAATAGAAAACGGAAGACCCTTGGGATATTTATCGCCCGATAATTACATCATTAACTTAATGAATAATTAATGCCCATTAATACCCATTAATTAACAGCTAATGACTGATTTTAAACCGAATAAATTTCATCGTGACAACAAAATAGATGATCAAAAGATATTCGAGAATATCAACAATTCTATAAATAAATGAAGATTTAAATACTGAATTAAGTAATTGTAATAATTACAAGTAATTATCAGAATTATTGGAATTCTACCGCAACTGCTCGTAAGAATTCATCATTGAAATTTCCTCAGATATCTTCTGCAGCATCTCAGGATTAGAATTACGCACCTAATTATTATAATCATTAAAACTCCACGATAACTAATCCTAAGAATTTCTATCACTGATAATATGATTGCTATTCCCTTAAAAACACTTCCTTATCTCGTTGCTGATAACAATCTAGTTCATTGCCACGAGGAAATCTATTAATTTTCTGTTTTCCTAAAGCATTGAATTTTTTTAAGATTAAAAAGAAAATAGAAAAATGTACAGGACGATGGGATAAATTAAAACCAAACTTCTGTGATATTGTTTAAATTAAATGACATTTAATTTAAACAATTGATGAATAACACGCGATCATTTGGTCGATTGTTTAAATTAAATTATAGCGATGCACCGATAATTAACTCCTGTAATTATTAAATTCACTTAATTATGAATAAATAAAATGGAGCTCCGATTGTTTAAATGAAATAAAACAGTTGGATCAACTTAAAGATGCAACAGGAATGAACAATAATTACAAAATGACAATAAATTATTGATAAATAATTTGGTTTCAGGTACAGCGATGGTTCAGTCAGACTGAGAAACCCGAACATCGAGCTGATGGATCAGGATATTCTGTACCATCTAGCCCTCGGGAGTGGCTCCCATGATCTAGTAGAAATGTTTGGTGATGTAAAGGTAAATAAATCCAGTAATTACCCGAAGTAATTAAATAAACCTACGATTAATTAATTATTTGATTCTTTTTTCTTCAGTTCATATGCATGGGAGGGACTCCTAAGCGTATGGAGACCTTCGCTTGGTACATAATGAAGGAAATAGGTCATAAACTACCAGCTGGAACAACTTTACTCGACATCAGTCAGCATTCGTATCGCTATAGCATGTACAAAGTCGGTCCTGTACTCTCTGTCAGCGTAAGTGTTACATTCTGATTAAAAATCCAATGTCCACTCGACATTAGATTCTGTTGTTCGTTGTTGGCATTCAGACCGGTTCTCAGTCTCCCCTATTTCACTCAATTTTATGAGCCTGAAGAAGTCCATCAGAAATTTTACAATCCGAGAAATAATAAAAAGGAAATATTCTATTTATTCCACAATTCGTGATTAAACAATCACGCGTTTAATTAGTTAGACCGAAACAAATTATTTGGGACTATTGACAAATTATTTCATTAATTTAAGGAATAATTATATTGACTAAGTGATTATTTATTGATTTATTAGAGAATTTGTGTTTATAAAGGATTTTTAATCTTTCAAATTTTCTTCACTAACTCTTGAAATACTTGAACTTCAAGGAAATCGATTAAACAAATTAGCGATGAGGTCTAATTATTCATTTCTCCGAACGATATTTATATTTCTCTTCATGTAGAAAGGTCAATTGAATTGATATTCATAGAGTTCTCTGAGCTCTTCAAGAATGACGGAAAGCTGAAGCTTTTCGTTATCAGAAACATGAAGAATTCATAAAACCGACTAATCAGCATCTTCAATTCTCTTGTTAATCCAGCATGGAATGGGAATTCCGTCAATAGGAATTCTTCTGCACGAGATAATAAAACTCATGTACCACGCGAAAGTACGTGATCCTCTGTTCATCAGAGTTGGTACGTGCGGAGGAATTGGATTAGATCCTGGAACTGTCGTCATATCAAATGAAGCTGTTGATGGAATGCTCAAGCCATATTTCGAACAGGTAATTCCCAATTTTCTTAACAATTCTTTAAACAATTATAATTACGTCTTCTCCAATCGTTTTAACTCATCCATTCGATGGAAATGACACAATAAAATATTATAATTAATAGAAAGTTTTTATATCGATCATTTAGAACAATTGACAAATCATTTATTAATGATTAATATTAATTAATGACTCTTTACTTTTACCTGCAATTCTCAATATTCAATAATTGTTATGAAACTTTGTTATAATATTGGACAGCGGTATTTTTAGAAATTAAAGAAATTTAGAGTTCTTTTTAAATAAATGGAATGTTTATTATTGTTATTAGTAAAATCGCTGAAATTCGGGGATTAAACAGAATTAATTAAAGAGCGTTATATTGTCTGGAAATTACTCGTCATTTTCACAGAATTTTTAGGAAATAATTCCTGGAGAATAGAATTACAGATTTCCATAATTCTTTACAGAATAAAATCAAATAATTCCAGTCTATACTATATTTAAAGAAAAAATATATTGAAATAGAAAAATGGCAGTAATTCATCAGACAAATCCTAAAAAAAGACTAATTATTTATTTATAAAACTGTTACTACATGATTTTCATTTCATTTTTCAACGATAGATATATAAGAATCGGAATTCAAACGTTCAGATTCAGGCTGTGAGCTAGAATCAGAGAGATTATAAAATGAAAATTCCTCAATTTTCCAATAAAATATATATAAATATATATATATATACATCGAATAAACCGATTATAAAAAACGTTACATTGGATTTTTTTTAAAGGGATAGAAACAGAATTTTAAAAGGAAATAAAAGAAAAGAATAACTGAATGACAGAAGATAATTGAATATTTGTGGCAATAAAATATTATTTCAACAGCCGGTCCTGGGTAAAATGACCCGACGACCAGCCAAATTGGATAAAAAGCTAGCGATGGAACTTCTGGCACTCGCTAGCAATGAAGATCCTTACGACACTGTAACCGGAAAGACAATGTGCACTTCTGATTTTTACGAGGGCCAGGGGCGTTTGGATGGTGCTTTCTGCGATTACACTGAGCAAGACAAAACCGATTACCTCAATAAACTCCACAAGCAAGGAATCATCAACATTGAAATGGAATGCACTATCTTTGCTGCTCTAACTCATCATGCTGGTATCAAAGCTGCAATCGTTTGTGTTACATTCTTGGATAGACTAAAAGGAGATCAGGTGATCAAATTTCAAAATCAAATTTTATATTAAAAAATTATAAATTAAAATTAATACTCGCTCGTATTTACTGTAGATATTTAAATATAAGGATTTATTATTTTACCGGGTGACGTAGCTGGTTTGTCTAATATTTATTTATTTATATATTTTATGTATATTTTTATTTTTAATTTTTTTATTTACATTTCTTTTTCCTATTATCAGTTTTTTTTTTGGTATATATTTACATATTCATATTTATTTATTTATTTGCAAAAATTTCACCTCTGCGTACCCACACGATCTCTTAAATACATAATTGTTTATATTTAATTACTTGGGGGATAACAAATTAATCTAGGATAAAAAATAGAATTGTTGATGCGATCGCTGTATTTATTTATTGATTGCCCATGAATAATTAGATAGGGAATTTAGAGGGTAATCTTTATTATTCCGTAGTTTAAATGTTAATTTATTAATTGTTTGAATTTGGAACAGGTGAATTCGCCTAAAGAAGTCCTGGAAGAATGGCAGAAACGACCGCAGGAGTTGGTGGCACGATACATTAAAAGATATTTGCAGCACAAAGGGCGATTGTCCTTAGAAGGGCACGGTTCAATGTGTGTCAAGAGTCCTCGACGGTTCAAGCTTGTTCAACAGGAATCCGAGAATTACGATTAAACTGCCCCACCGATGAGATAATTCAGATTGATTTGTCTCCATTCTATCGACAAAAAAAATACCGATAGAATAATTAATTAGTTTTATTATTTAAACTATTCAATGGCACAAATTGAACTGAATAATGGTTCTACGTTATATTCGTCTTGGGAACTAATTAAGTAGGCGATTACTTATTGTTCAGACGAAATAATATCGCAATATTCAGAGCTGTCGCAATTGAGCCAGAAGCTGATGATTTTTACTAGCTCACTTAACCGCGAATAAGTCGCGGTGCTCAAGTACAAAAAAGCAGGAAAGAGAATTTTTTTAAATAATCATGTTACTGACCAGTCTCGGCCACATATCCAATATTTTTTATTCAAAAATCTGCTGTGAGGGAATTGCAAAGATAAATTGAGAAAATGACAGGCACTTTGACGTCATTAATTTTAATTAATGATTTATGTTTTATTAGTGTTATCCATTGTTTTTGATGCCTTGGATGTGACGAATCGAAAGCATCAGCGAATCGAGTCGAAACTATTTTGTAATTGAATACAATCACAGCCGATTGAATTGACGGAAGTTTAATTAATTGATTAGTTAATTATTTCGTGAATGTTTAATTAAAACACGGGAGCAACCGTAGAGGAATGAATGAACCTAAATCAAAGATTCTCATCTTGATAAAAATTAAAATCAGTGGAAATATCCACTCGCAGCTTCTGTACCACAAAAAATATAAACATTGATTATTAAAAAAATTATCAATAGTGAATTCAACATTCCAGCGCAATTCCAAATATTTATCTCTGATTTAAGAATTATAAATAATCGTTTGAGAATGTAACGAGAGATTTCAAGTTGAAAATATAAAAATTTCCCAGAAATTGAAAGATTATTCCTTCGAGAAATAAATTTCTATCGATATTTTATCTCCAAATGTTGAATTATCATTGTAGTAACAAGAAAAATTATGAGAAAAAAATCTATCGAGGATTAAACTACCATAAAATAATATAAAATATTGTGGAGGGGAAATATGTGAGTGCTTTATATATCTAAATTAATTTACAACGGGAAAATTATTCTGATTAAGGTAAATTGTTAATCGTGATACTACGCATTGTCTTCGCATGAAATAAATGTTTGTTGAGCATAGGGCATATATTATATATGTATATACATAGATATCTACAGTTGTTCCACAAGAAATTGAACCAAAAGGGCCTAGGGCCGGTTGTACCGATCTCGTTCGATAACTGGGACTTAAATCTCGAGACAGAAGTTAAATCTCCACAATCTTCTTTATTTTATCGTAATAATTTGGTATTTGGTATTTGGGTACACTAAAATCTAATTACAGTTGTACGAGAAATGATAAATCTCAATGACTTTATTTCGCCGGTAATTTATTTCTCCGTAAAACCAAATTATTACAATAAAATCTTTTTGGATTTTGGGACTTTGATGATTCTGATAAATAAAATAATGAAATCTGGAGAATCCCGGGTCTTGAATTGACGAGGAAATTAACCGGTCCGAAAGACGAAAATAATAAAAAATATCTACGAAAACAAAATCATTGCTGCAACGGATTCTCGCGGAATAAATGTTTAAATAATTCTCTCTCTCAAAATGAAAATTCCGATTTCCCATGAGCAACGACATACATATCTGTGATGATATTACATTACATGGATAATATCCTGTCCTCCACCCACTGAAATTATTAATAATAATGTTTAATTAAAGGATGACTGCGAGTTAATGCAATTATCAAAAATGATAATGAAATTCTATAGCAGTCCTCCTTTATCTCACTTGTACCCAAATATCAGTAACGACTACAAAAGACCACTTGAAATAAAAAAATAAATTGTTCAAACAAATCTACATGAATAATGAAAATAAATTGTGCTGCAATTGGGCATTTGTAATAATTAATTTGTACCGTGACGTGTTGTGTTATTTTGCGCATTCTTTGGCAGAGATTTATCAATATGAAAAAATAAAGTTGAAGAGAAATATCCACTGTTGATTGGGCCTTATCATTAAAAGAATAAAAAATCAAAGAGACCCTTCCTGAATCTTCAAACACACAGGGCATTTTATTCGCCGCAATGTAATACAAAGGAATATTATGACAATTCAGTAGGACATACGACAATCTCGTGTTTTTTATTGACGAATTATACATACCTAATGTAGTAATACCGATTTTCCTTTTTTAATTTGATTGTATAAATTTAACTACAACCTGATGCTCACTGTTTCCCCGTTTTTCTCGGTTTGAAACTGAAATGAAATTTGAGAAAAAAAAATTTGTCGTACAAATCGTTTTTTATTGATTCTTGAAATGTTTGTTTAAATTTTTTTATGGTCGAGACGTGAGTGATTCACCTAGACAGCAGCACGATTTTCAGATTTATACGAATGTATATCTTTTTGATGTTCCACTAGATTTTTTAATTGTCGTGGATAATTTTTATTTCCTGTATAAAGCCTTTATCGTAATTACAAAGTCCATTCGATATTGCCTCGTCTCTCCGTACACATCATCCGATTTTATATTCATTCATGCAATAATAATAGCCACTTTTTAACAATACAATGATAGATTCGATAGTAGCAATAATTAATGAATAACTGCTATTATTATCGGATTATTTTTGGTTATAGAAATGCTGAAAGAGAATTACACGTTCTCGATTACACATTAGGAGACAGGCCTTTTATTTATTCTTTAATTATTACTTATTATTTTAATTTTTTAAATTCACTGTCGACAGGCATTGGAACCACTGAAGGAGGAAGTCATTTATTATTAAATTTTATTACAAATTTTGTTTATTATCCTTTTGGAAACGCAAATATTTTTCTCTTTTCATTAATTTTGTAATTACTGTTGGTAATTTCCACGTTTCATCACAAATAATACAATAATTTCCACTGGTCCTTTAGATTGAGTTATCGAGAAGAATTAAACAATTAATAAACAAATTCCGCTTTCTAGAATTAATTAGAAGTGAAATTTACGGTTTATTAATCATTTGAATAAATATTTATTATTTATTACTATTAGTAAATCAGTAAATCATTAAATAATCCATTGAATAATTTTTCCAATTCAAAATTTAAATATTTTCCAGCAGTGCTAATAATCCACTTCAAAAACCACTTGTGCAAATGTGTAATAAAATATTCCCCCTCCCATTTTCTCATCATAATTTCCGTAAGTAAATAATTTATCATGAAAAATAACTTAACACTTAGAAAATAATTTACTGTTAAGAATTTACTAAACGTACTATCACAATAAATCGATAAAAAGTCGAAGAAATTAATATTCTCTCATTCGTAACGAAAAATAGTTGTTAACTATTTCATTCGACTTAATCAAATGATAAAGAAAAATGGATAAAAGCTATTAGATAGAATGGACAAGCTCAGCGTCAGGGAAAAGTTTAAGCTATTCCTGATTAATTGGTTTTTCCCCAATTACCATAATTCCCCGCATAATCTGCTAATCAGACTAATTCGTTAGATTTTTCTAGAGGTTGCGACGTAATTATAATCACAATTAAATAGTTATCAATCTCCACTTATAATCGACTCCAATCCATTAATTTTGGCACATAATTTGCAGCACTTCATTACTCAGTAATAACATTGAGATTTCAGTAATTTTAGGCTTTGAATTGGAAAAAAAAGAAAAAAAAATCGTCAAGATCTCTTTACAAAGAATTTTCAACAATTGTAATTCTTGATGAGATTGAGATTGCCTTCCAATAAATTACGTGAATTAATTAACAATACTGTTGAAGTAGTAATTATTTTCGATTGAGCTAAGAAATTGGGATTTAATCCTTATTTGTTGTATCTACCTTTCATTTTCATCTCAATACCGATAATAATTATCAAATTAATATTCTGAGTGCAGATGATTTTCTATCATATGATTACGTCGATATTTTCCCCTTTTCGTGAGAACCTTCGACCTTATCTTTATATTTTACCTAGAATAATTTATATACAAGACTAGACTCTTAATGAATAATTTCATCTGCCCCATTAATTAATCAATAACTCATAATTCAATAAAATTTCTAAAACATTATTTATGTAAATTGATTAAATGCTGTCAAAAGAAATAGAAAAAAAAAATATTCATTACGCGTGGAGCAGATAAAATGAGCATAATACGGAGTATTTTCTCCACCGGTTATAAACAAATTGTGAATATCTGGGATTTTCTGTCTTACAAGTGAACTTTCATTCGGTTTTATTAAAAACATTCAGTATTTATTCACTTACTCTCCACGAAATATTTGCACAATCTTTCAGAAACTTCAGCTGGAAAATTACTCTGGGTTTTTTTTCAAAATCACTGCAGAGTCTTCGATGAATAAATCACCTGCACCTGACGTTCAATCCCATTTACTGATAATTGAAATAAATGTTAATTGAAAACACTAGGGAAGCTCTTTTCACTCCTTTGATTCATTTTCTCCGAATGCCTCTGATTGTCACATGATAAAATGGAATGTGTCTCCAGAATTTTTCTATTGATAACTCAGAAAAAAAATGATTGAAAAAAAAAATTGGGGATTACTCTTTTCCGTTATTTTCCTCGTAAGTTCCTTGATATTTCAGGGAGTAAAGAAATAACAGGAAAGAGAGAAATATTCTTCTGAATTATTGATTCAGTTGTGAGTTCCCTTTAGCAATCGATCATAAAGACTGAACAACGGAATGAACTCGGGTTTAATTTTCTTCGTTAACTTTTTGTTTTTTGGACATCAAAAATTTATTTATCGTTTCGTTCGCGCGCAAAATTGTAGCTTCAAGGTTTTATTTTTATCGAGTGAATTTAATTGAGTTTAATTGTCAGTCGATTTTGAGGGGAGGAAAATAATTAGCGGGAGGTGGACACATTTTAAAAAAATGTTGATGATGTTTACATTGACAGAGGCGAATCATCACATCGATGGATGAAACCGTGCTGGTGTCATCCTGCTGATTCCGGGAGGAGAATGCTGACGGATTTTCGAGATGATTGACTTCCCCCGGATGCACTCGTTGTTAAAGTGGAAGATGGACGATGGGATGGAGCTATAACCCGCACCTCTGGACGTGGTGATGATTCAGGATGTGGGGAATTCTTCATCTCCTCGGAGGTGGTTATCAGAGTCACTGGAGCCCTTGAATTAAATTATTATTCTTCCATTAAGTAAAGGAACAATTATTTTTACTGCAATTTGTCGTGAAATGGAAAATTACGTCAGGTATTTTTTATTTTCAGCGAATATCTCGGAAGGGAGGGGAGATACAAAAATTTTCATCAATACCTTTTTTGTAGATATCACTTTTTTCTACGAAAAAGGTTTATATGAAAATAGTGATGGTCGCGGTGAGTTCTGAGATATCGAGCAGAAACTGGAGTTGAAGAAAATGGGCTTATCTTGATGGACCGAAAATCGTGAGTGAAATATTTGTAATTCAAGTCCAGATAAATCTTCTTTCTTTTTGTTCTCAAGATCACTGCAATTCGGTGCTTCATGCCGATATAAAAATAAAAGAATCTGATGAATTCAAAGATTCACGTGCCAATTACGTAAAATAGACACCTCAAAGGTCTGGCAAAGACTATTTCTCTGGCAAAAGAGAAACTGCGTGAGGAAAAAAAATTACAATAAATAACGCGAGACGTTTGTAATCCAGAATAATCATTGTAGTAATCCCGCGTAATTTTTCAGGCTTCAATTACCCGTGGAGTTTTTGTAATTTTTTTTTTAATTAAAAAAATTTCTCGTTACTTTGCAAAAATTTTGTGTATTGACCTTTTGATAATTGTTTATAAATTTTTGCAATTAGTACCTGTGCTGCGGTGGTGGCGTAGGTGTTCTTGAAAGGGGAAAACTCGCAACCTCTCGGGTCACAGAAAGCGATCGAATCGATCCGAAGGTCTGATCCGGTGACATATTAACACCCACACTCTGTACCATTCCACTACTGAAACACATGATAACAATAAACCATTAATAAATATAAACCCTCTAATCACTGTAATTGTTGCTAAATACCTTCAATTTAAATACACTAAACAAATTACTCGTGAATTAATTAACTTGATTGTCAAATTGGATTCTATTTAATCGGTAAGACATCTCATGGGATCGGTAGAATGAAATTCAATGATTTTTTAATTAAAAATCTTGAAATTGAGGAAAAATCGGTTGATATCCTTTGAAGGTCACCGCAAAAAGTTTTATATTTCCACGAAAAATCGTTATCATGTGTGAAAATAAAAATGTGTTGTGAGATCCGGCGTTGATAACTCACGCACAAAGATTATCATCAATCATTACAGCTGGTTTAGATTAATCACTCGTTTCACTCAGTGCAAAGAATGTTACAAGAAATAATGACACCTGCACTGTCTTCTCTTCCCCGTGAACTACATTTGCATTCAATTAATCTTTCACTTGAATGTGAAATCTGAGAATAAAAAAGAATGAAAGAATAAAAGAAATGGGAAAAGTTTCCAGCTTTCTCGGAAATTATAATGAAGAAAGCGAAAATAGGAAATCGGTAATAAACCGTTGAAAAAATACGATATAAAAAGATTCAGTAAATTTCTTTGACATAATTTCAAGACGAGAAGTCATTCTCTAAATATTCTCAATAAAATTAAATAAATTATTACAAAAATCGATAAAGCAAATGTAGGATTTTGGGGTTTTCCCCCGAATTCAAAATTCATTCTTCTAGAGTTTTTATATTTCTGGATTTAGGAAATATTTATTTCTTTGTTGCTGTGGGACTTTTTCTTTATGTTATGAAAAAGAGGGGAAAGTCCCTCCGGGACTTTCTCGTTGCAGATTTTTCCCAGATCAGAGAGGGTCAAGAAAAAGAAAAATCCAAGGGTTGAGGGTGGAAGGAGAAATTATATTGCCCTCTGGAGAGGAGTTTACCGTGGGCCTCACTAGTAATGTTTAGTTAGTTCATTGTAAGTCTTCGTTCAGTAAAGTAAATCTTAACGGTCTAGAGTCTTATAATTTTTAATAATAATTCTCAGTCTCAAAATTCTCCAAGTGTTTATTTATTTCGATCTCCATCATCCAATAGCAAAATATTTATAAAATACCGCATCAACAAATTCCAGTACTAAAATAATCATTATGAAATAATCAATAAAAACAATTTGCAACTCCAGTAGATTCGATTGATAGTCTAGATTCGTACCGATTGTGGAATACCTGTTTATCGAAATCCATAAATATTTTCCGAATCAATTGAGGCCACATTGTATACTATTTCTGTCCGTTTCCTTGATTTTTCAAACTCATTTCAATTCTAAAATCCATTTGTAATGCAAAATACACCCGAGGATGAGCGGGTAAAAACGGTAGATTGGAGTAAGTGGATCAAAAAATAATTCAACATGTGATAGAGAATGGAGATACGATGGAGATCGTGTGGAAACTCGTGTTGACTCTGTTGTTAACTCCAGAAGAACAACTTATGAATAATTCAATGTGTCGTACGTTCATGTCAAGACACTAAAACGGTAAAATGCATCGTATCACGCAAGGACGAAACTCTGACCTAAACATTGACATTAACACGAGATTTTCGATTTACCCATTGTCTACTGAAATCGAAACTAAAATAAACCAACGGTACCAGGGACAGACATCAAGCATCAAAAAATCCATAGATAATAGCTAAGTTCTAGTAAAGCTTTAGTAAATACTGTAGGCTAAAGATATTTTTTTCTCAGGATGGATGTAGACTGTCTTAAGGTAATTGGATAAATTTTTCTGCTAGCAATTTGATAAAGAACTGTTTGATTACTTTTCGTTGGGACTACCTGACTGAATTGGAAGTAACGAGGAATGGCATCGGCGTTGGACAAGGACTGAGTGGTGAACTGCTGAGAGAACTCCTGGTGCTGCTCAAGATCGAATGTGGACATTGGGGTGGACCCACATGAGGTCCCATGAACCCATTGGCACCAGATCTTCGATTCGATCGATTCTTGAAGCAAGAAATCCTAGTCCAGCGACCGACTTCCTTCTTCGAAACACCTGGAGCACATCAATTCATAAATCATCACTGGGTATCAACACAAAATTAAAAACCCTCAAGTCTAGACCAGAGATCTACCAGAGACAACCTCAGGTAGGCTCGGAGCTGCAGCCATAAAATTATTAAGGTTCCAATTATAAGGGCCCTAACGTGATTACAAGGGTTGTTGCAGGGTTGCCAGATGGCGATTTTTTCCAAAAATTGTTTTTGGTTTTTCATGAATAGGATAGATGATAGCAAGCTTCGAATTAGTTATCAGCTAGGCCATTTCAAAAGTGTCAATCATTCGCGTTATCGGCTGGACTTGCTTGATTGGGATTGTTTAAAATCAAAAAAAACATTTTCAAAAAATTCGCCATCTGGCAACTCAGGGTTGTCGTATATTTGTGATTGAAATGTGAGGGCAAAATGGTTTGAATTTTTATGCACGTGTTTGGACATTTTCTTTTTTGATAAAAAAAAAATGGAATTAAAAGATGATGGTGTAGATTCAATATTCATAAGTGTAAATGAAAGTGGGATGCTTGTGACCTTGAGAAAGAAATATTTCATCGTCAATTAAAGAAGATTTAATTAGGAACGAAGAAATTGTCAAGCATTCAAAACCTTCATGATGCACATGATATTCTAGATAATTGAATTTCCCTCGCAGAAGGCGAAGAAATCGATGAAAATAATTCGTACCTATTTTGCTAATACCCTGGATTGGCCTCAATGGATAGAAATCTCCATGGAGAGGACAATGGAAGCCCACTCTTCTCTCTCTTCTCCTTGCACGTCTGGTTAACATGCAGAGAAGTGCGCCAAGGCCAAGCATCAATAGACCAATAGCAATACAAATGGGACCCAAAATTCTTGAATTCCCGGTGAAGGCGATCCTCGCGGCGTAAGAGTCTTTGTCCTCATCTTCTCCAGGTCCTCGATAAGAAGCAGCTGCTCAAACAAGTCAAGAAATGTAACAATTAAAAGCAGGGGAGCCAGATGATGGTATAAATAAATCGCAGTTGGGAATATTTCTTGGAGACTTCGAGGAAATTTCTAGACGTAAAAATATCTCTCAGTCATTTTCTCGGTATTATACTGTGCATGAAGACATTATTATTATTATTATTATTATTATTATTATTATTTTGTAATTAATATTTAAATTCGGGAATTGTTTTGTTTGTTGTTTTGGATTCTTGCGTTTTTTTCCAATTTTGTTATCTTTTTTATGCTCGGGAGTCGGTGGGTAGATGAAAAGTTGATTCCAGGTATAAATTCGATCCTCCAGGTGAAAAAATGGCGAGGGAATAAAGAGAAAATAAAATGGCAACAGGTTCCTTCGAAGGAAGAAATCTCCAATAAAACGGGTAATATATTATATTTATTCTCTTAATGAAATTTTTAATTAATTGATTTTATAATATGTAATATTTGTATAACGTTATTTAATCGAGAGAAATTGTTCATATTTTTTTTCAATTAGTATTCATTCGACTGTTGAGTCATTAATTATGAATAATAAGGATCGACGATTTGATTTTTATTATTTTATAATTATTTAGTGATTTCATTGTGAAATGAAAAAACTCAAGAATAGAATTTTTAATTAATTGATATTAATAGACGGATTTAAACAATTGGTTTTTCAGATTGAAAAGTCATGAATTTTTTATGAAAGTTTAAACTTAGTAATTAATTATAAAAATAGAACAGCAGGTGCGATTCGATTTTCAATAGATTAAAAATTGATTGTTAAAACAAAAAAATTTGATTAAAACAAAAAATTCAGGTGCACTTCCGTAGAAATGATATCAAGGAGAAGAATTATGATAAATATATTTTTTATTGAATATTTCTCGAAGGAAGGATGACCGAGCGAAGACCAGCTGTTGCCTGGCAAAGCCTCACGGCAATGGCTACTTCTCGCCCTTTTTATTCTCTTCGTGTTCCCCTTTTTCAATGCTGATGAGAATGGTACCAGAGGTCATTGCCCCCAGAACCCATCATAGCGGTTCTCAAATTCATAAAACAATAGATCAACGACTCGATAAAAATATACCAGATAATTTTCAATCCTCAAATTCTAGTGCAGATATAAAAATTTTTAAAATTGTAACAAAATAAATTCTGTTTATCATAAAAAACAAAAATTTATTTAAAAATCTATCGAGGTTTACCTTGACCCTTCAAACTATTCCTAGGACGAATAAAAAGTCTGAGACCTTCGGAATAAATGCAAATGCTGGAACGATCATGAACTTCTCGTTAAACAATAGATAAAAGACAAAGGAAAAATAATAGTTAAATATCGGATAGTCCGGGAGTTTTAAAAGGCATTTTCTTATGGCTTCACGTAATCAAATCAAATTTGCGTAGATTTTTGTTTCACTCTAGCCCTGAATCATCTAGGGTTTCCCTCAGGCACGTGTGACAGAAATATTCAATAAAAATGAATTTTTCCATGATTTTTAATTGGACTCAATGAATTAAATCCCAGGAAATCGATTTATAATTAAAGCCAGAGTCTTTGAATTTGTGATGATGTTTACTGGATCGCGGGATTTATTTTTGGTTTGAGAATATTAAAATTTGAAAAGTCCTGGTTTTTAGCTAGTTCATACTTTATCGACAAACGGACTCCGTACATGAGGGGTTAATCTGTTTTTAGAATAGAAAGTGTATTTTTAGATGTTGCTTGTGACGGTAGTCAATCTTCAGGGCATAGAACAGAATTCTATCAAACTAGAATGTCTGAAGAGACCGAATGATATAAAAATCATTATCCAATTGTTTAATTATTTTTATCAAAGATTCTCCCATGGAGTTGTGGATTTTTATTACAATATATTACTCGTAATATTTTCATTATAATATATTTTATATTATATTATTTTATTATTTTTATTGTTTTATTATGACATTAGAAAGGAGTGAATTTGTTAAAGAATTATTTTCACAAATTATTTTATTAATTTCGTTATTATTCATTGATAATTCAGATTATTCCAATCAATTAGTAATTTTTTAATGAAAGTATGAGTTTTATGATTAATTATAAAAATTTGATATCAAACACAATTCAATTTTTAATCAATTGAAAATTTCAAGAAGTTCATGAATTCTTCATTAATTAATTAATTCGTTAGAAGTAAATAAAATAAATAAACACAATTAAATGAATTGAAATTATTTAGAAATTTATTATACCATGATTATTAATAATAATAATAACAGATTAATGATTAATAATTAGAAGATAAATGAAAAAGATTGATGTCATTCATGTGGGCGAAGAAAGATCGAGTGAGACATCAAAGGAATCCATTACTGTGGTCAACGGTTTATAAACGACAAAGAAAATTCCTCTCCCTCTTAATTACGACTGATTAATGTGGAGTGACTTACCAGTGAGAACAGCCCCCGCAAACATGAATAGAAATCCAAATGCTGGAAGTGCTATCTGACAATTTGCCGCTATCACCACTCCAGCCACCATTAAGCCACCCTCTATTTTTTCTACCCTCAAACGTGATATGGGGGTGGGACATTTTAATTTCGATGCCAAACCCCCACTCAGCATTTCCTCCTCACCAGCTACGGTACTCGGCCTGCAATAAAAAAAAAATCATTAAAAAATTTAATTTGAGAAATAACTGGAGAATTGCTTGAGTCATTGAATAATTTAGGTCGAGGGGGTATTTATCCTGAAATTTATTGACACTATGATTCAAGATTTCATAGAGTTTCATAAATATTTCAGGAGGATTATTGAATTATTGGAGTTATTTAGTGAATTTGGAAGGATTTCAGGATTTCAGGATTGAGTTATTTCAGATCATTTTGAATGATTTCAGCAGATGAAATCGTGAAATCCCGTGACATCAATGAAATATTATGATTTTAGATGATTTCGCATGATTTCATCAGATGAAATCATGAAATCCCGTGACATCAATGAAATATTATGATTTTAGATGATTTTTCATGATTTCATCAGATGAAATCATATGAAATTCCGTGAGATCAATGAAATTTCATGCTTTCAGATGATTTCGCATGATTTCATGAAATCATTCGGATGAAAGAATATGAAATCCCCGTCGATCACTGAATTTTCATGAATTCAATGATTTCCTCCGACTTCAAATGATTTCATCCGACTTCAAATGATTTCATATAATTTCATTCGATTTCATGGGATTACAATCGATTTCACTGCGATTTGTAAAGCTATTTAATCGATACGTGACGCGCGATTATCGAACTGAATGAGCTATTCACTTTCTGTGAAAAAAAACATCTGCTAAATGAATTTGAGTAATTTTTCTACATAAAAATTCGCGTTAATTTCGCGTTTGTTGTAAATTCATTTGGAAAGATTTAACGTCACTTTTACGAGTTCATTTACACCGTTGACTCGCGGACAATTACAATACAATTACAATTACAATTACATTGAAGGGGCGAGTCATGTAATTCATTCAATGACCCATTATTCCATGGCCTCCATTGACTGGAACACTCGGTGCTTTTATAAAAGTTCATTGGTGGTATTAAAATGCCCGACAGTCGGCCGACATCAATAGAATTATTGAAAATTGAACAAATTGTCTTAATTCCATGACAAATATTACGAAAGTGATATTGAATATCTAAAAATTAAATAATGTTCTGTAAGAAATTTTTTTGATTAAATAAAATCGTTATGATAAATTAATTAAGCAATTACATATAAATATACAGGAGTGGGGGAATCGATTTTTATTTATATATTTTTCAAAATAAAAATTGTTTTGGAGAAAAAAAAAAGGGCTCAGCCGGGATTTGAACCCGGGACCTCTCGCACCCAAAGCGAGAATCATACCCCTAGACCACTGAGCCGATATGAAATCGCAATTTTCATAAAGGTACAAAAATTACGACTGTAACCCGTATTTCTGCGAATTAACTTCAAACAAAAAAAATCCTATCATAAAAAATCCATATTTTCAATTTTGCGGATGGATCTAAAAAAGATGAAAAGCCATTGAAATTTTGATAATTGTTTTGTAAAAAACCTTGATATTTAAACAATTCAAGCAATAATTTATCTGAATTGTTATTCTATTGAACATTTAATTCCATTTGATGCTGAATTTTTATAATTCATTTGAAAATTCCGGGTTTCAATGAAAACTCAAATATCCTTTTATAGAAAAATCGTTGAAAGAGATAAATTCAATGGACATTTTTAATTAACAGTTGATTCAAACAGACATAATTGAAATCTCAACATAAATTTCAAGAACAGTACATTTCCTTTCGCATTCATATACTCCAATTACTGGTTTGTCATTAAAACTGGAGTCTGAACTCACGGTGACGCCTTGTTAAACCCGAATGCACGAGTTCTTTGTTAAATAAAAAAAAAACTCACCGACTATCGAATATGAACGCCTCTAGGGCTGTACCACCCTCCGTTATTTTTTTTTCAATTACGGATGAGCGAATGCTCGACGGAAAAGGTAAAAATCCCATTTCCCTTCTCTTTCCGACTTCTAGTCCCAAATTTTCCGTTTCTATTTTCGTTTCAACAGAGGAATAGTACAACTACATTTACTATATTCCCCCAGTAAAAAAAAGTTCAACTTTTTCCAGTGAAAAACCGAAATTCAATTTTCTAATTTCCTCCAGTTTTCACTTCCTTAAATAATAAAATAATGGCGTTTAAATAATTGAGATTATTAATTCCCCGAGTAAATTAGATAATTACGGGAATATTTTACGAATCGCTAGATTTTAATGCACATTTTTATGTACTTGCGATCACTTGTGATGGAAATTTATTTATGATCATCGATTGATCGATTATTTAAAATCATAAGTTGGGAGTTGAGAGAAATTGTTCTGGTGGTGCGTAAACTTCGAGATATCACTGAACGTTTCAGGAGTCGTCTTCAATTTTTGTCACGCAAGTACATAGATGTATGTATACATAAGAGGGAGTGATAACGGAGAACCGTATAGGTTTGAACGGCGCCAAACATTTCGCTTATCATTGGGTATTAATATTCATTTAGAGTTTATTTTCAGCTACCATTTCACCACGGAAATCTCCACCGATTGTAAATTATTCCTTGAAATTTACCGGAAGAATTGCTAATCGAAATGACAGAGCACGGAATTAAACAGATTATTTAAAAAATTCTTTGTCAATAACAAATTAGAATTATAAGCTCGAAGGATTGCGCATTTTTACTGGATTTTTTATTTGGTATAATATAATATCCTTGGAGATATGCCTCATTAAATCTCATAATCTTTCATGAACAATTAAAATGGCGTAAATTTATTTATCTCCACGTCATAATTCGTCGGATATTCTCGTAAATTCCGTTGCCTTGAATTTTTTTTAACTGACGTCAAATTTTGAAACATCCAATAAGAATTTTTTAATTAAAAATTTTCATTCTCTCTCACTTAAAAAAAATTCCAAATCCCAAATCCCAAAGATTAATAATCAATAAACTTAATAACTATTTATGAAATTTGCCAGTTAAAAAGATAAAAAACAATGTCGATTTATATTTGTTTAATTAACAAAAGTTAATGGACGTCTAAGAAAAAAGTCCAGTGAAAGGATTTCTCGTTAAAAATCATAATAAAAAATCAATTAATAAAATAATAAATAAATACTAAGTAATAAATAATGAGAGAATATAAAATTCTCGTAAATTCCATTGCCTTGAATTTTTTTTAACCGACATCAAACTTTGATATATCCAATAAGAATTTTTAAATTAAAAATTTCCATTCTTCCACTCAAAAAAATTCCAAATCCCAAAGATTAATAATAAATAAACCTAATAACTATTTCTGAAATTTGCCAGTTAAAAAGATAAAAAACAATGTCGATTTGTATTTGTTTAATTAACAAATTTGAATGGACGTCTAAGAAAAGAGTCCAGTGAATGGATTTCTCGTTAAAAAATCAGAATAAAAAATTGATTAACTAATAAATAATGAGAAAATAGAAAATGGGGGATTAAAATGTCGCAGGTGAATCTCGATTTGATTATTATTATTATTATTTTTATTGGGATTATTTCACCTCGAATTTAATATTCGAGTGTTGGGTGTTCATTTTTTGGGTGGTGTTCAGGTACTGGGTGGATTATTCTAGAGGGTCGATAACCGAGTCGTCAGATGCGCAAGTTGTGCCTTCCACCACAGCCTTGACTGTAACCTCGGTTCTTCATCCTACAACTTGAATTCCAAACAATGTGAACGATCCCATACCACGACTGGCACCGATTATATAAATAATAATAATAAAAAATTAATTTTTAAATATTCATTGCAGATTAATTAATTTTATTTTTAATAACCGGAAAATTTGGACATGTCAACGGAATTTTCCTGCAGATTCAATAGCGATGAGTGGATGGATAATAATAATAAAAGTGGAGTGGATAAATAATAATAATTAAAATTAATTTTTAAATATTCATTGCAGATTAATTAATTTCATTTTTAATAACCG